GGTTTAAAAGATAACAAGGAAGGAAAAACACACACCCAGTTTGTGTTTGATTTGTATTTTAACAGCCTTGTCCAAAAAGGTATTGAACCTCCATAATTCAGAGTCCCCTTTCAAGAGCAACACCAAGTTGGTAAATATTGAATGGAACAAATAGATCATGTCCCACAGCATTATCTGTTTGAATGAAGTAGTTCCCCAGTTATGTTGTAGTCATTGTTCTACATTAAAGTGATTATGCAAAACACTACGGATAACAATATAAATAGCTTCTCCTTCTTTCTCTTGCCCGCTCTCTCCCCTATAAGGGAAATGCAGTTTGGAGACTGCCAAAGCAAGAGAGTAATATCTCCAAAGATGAGGATCTACCTCTCTGCTTGCCACACCAGTCCCCAATCTGACCTGCTGTGGGCACCCCTGTTACAAATGGTACTGGGCACCTTCTGTTGGTGAGAAGGAAACTGACAGATTGGAGGGAAGCGATAGATGCACAAAATTATTATAAGGAATGATTGGGATGGGATGAAAAGAACAATCTGTGTCTTGCTCAGCAAAGAGATGCATGATAAGATCGTGAATATTTAAAACTTCTAAGACGTCCCGCGAAGAAGCAGAATTATTTATTGCTGCATGGCAAGTAAAAACTAATAGGAAGGCTTCCAATTAAGAACAGGAGAAAAACCACAGGGAACACTTCCTAACAGCAATATTATGGAGTAGCGTGGCGAGCTGCCATCTTACCATGTAGTGGAACAATCACACAAGTTTACTGCTCATCATGGGCCTGATGTTAATAATAGCAACAGTTAGAATTTATTTAATGTTTTCCCAAGAGCTAAAGGCACTTCATATACATAACAACACTGATAATTACAACAGGACTAAAATTGAGTGAATCACTTCTTAGAAAAATGTAGAAAAACACAAATATATGCCCTGTGGTATGTCTCATTTAATTTGATTGATATAAGTTCAAGAAGTCCTGCTAAGGTCTGTTACCCACTGCAGTGTTGCCATGTAGTTTGCACACAGATTATGAAAACCATATGGAAATGCTATCACTCTCTGATTTCACTCTGTTGTTTACCTGTATGTAGCACAGTGGTCATTTAAGCCTTCAGTATTAAGGGTGGGTGGAGGGAATTCAATTCAGTACACATTTAAAAGCAAGCCTACATAAACTGCACTTTCTGAAACAATATGTGAACTGAAACACAAGGCATCCTTTGAAATTTGCACCCCTCTTCATTTTGCAGTGCAGTTCACCAGGCAAATAATGTGTGCAAAATATACATACTAGGATAAATTGTGCGTCAAATGCATATAATAATGAAAATAAAATACAAAATACAAAAATGAATTGTATTAGTGAAACCGGAACAGAGAGAATCCGAAATTGTTCCCTGCCCACCTAGATCCCAATGTGACATGCCACACAAAGGACTTCCATAAAGGTTTTTTGATGGCAGGCTAAATCGGACACGTGACGGAGCACCCTGGTTATAGCTTAGCCATGTGCATTGGTACCTCTGGATGCGAACAGGATCCATTCCGGAGCCCTGTTCACATCCTGAAGCCCTGCATCTGCATGTGCGCGGGTCACGATTCGCTGCTTCTGCACATGTGCGTGACGTCATTTTGAGTGTCTGCGCATGCGCGAGTGGCGAAACCTGGAAGTAACCCCTGGGTCGCCACGGAGCGCAACCCGAAAATATTCATCCCGAAGGATATTTAACCCGAGGTATGACTGTACACATTCAATCTCATCTGATCAACACGAGAGTCACCACAGACGGATACTAAGCCCAGGGTGTGCCTGCGTTTCCTGCCCCACAATGAAAATTTAAATCCAGAATTCTGAAAATGTCTTGTGGTGTGCAAAACCCCTCCCAGCTATTCCAAACATCTGAAAGAAATCAACTCCATGGCCTTCCCACTACTCTGATCCTGAAATATATAAGCATGACATGAATGGTCATAGCTTGATTAAGGCTAATTTGGAGTTTCGAGAGGGGATCTTCCCCATCTGGTACATAAACATGGAACGTCAGCGAGTGCAGGAGGGATGGTTTACAATATCCTCCTCCCCAGCGCTGATAATTTTGCAGAAGCCAATAGCCATTACTCCGGTGCCCTGGAAAGCTACTAAGCACCCCTCCTTCTCCTCCTCACAGTTCCCTGCATGCCCACCAATGCCTGTAATTACCTTTTTGCTTCTATCCCTCATTTACAATCACTGCAATTATATTTTCGTAAAACACGACAATCTACTTATTTATTTATTTGTAGAGAGGGAGGGAGGGAGATAGAAGAGCCAACATAGCATCAAGAGTAAACAGCTTCTCTCCAGACAGCGGGGTGTCAAAGCCTTGCAGCGCCACAAAAGAAAAAAGGGATGCCTAGCTGCTAGTAAACAGGAGGGGTGGCCCAACACAACAAAACACAAAAGCCGCCTTAATTACTATTCCTGCTCGGCCTGCTAATTGGCTGAGGTAAACCAGCCTCCTTGCACAGCCTCTATGATCCGTCTAATCATTGTTGTGGATTCATAACAAGCTGGGCAGCCATCACCGCAGCCAGGGGAGGGGGGGGTTCCTTCCTTGCCCCACTTTTCTCTCTAATCTTTAATCGTCGCAGCTGCAAAGGTCAAGCATATTCTTCATTAACTCCAGCCTGCACAGCTCAAGGCATCTTACAGTCATTTGGCATTTGGGAGGGGGGCAGAGAGGAGAGCTAATAAAATGGGAATATAGTTGAGTCATGATTACCATCAAGGGGATGTTGCAACCGTTGGAGGGGGGCAGGGTGGTATCTTATCTCTGCCTCCTTTTCGGCCATATTGCTTGTTGCAGACAAGACAGACTTGGTCTTGCAACATGGGTAGAGCTCAAAACTGGTTCCTTGTCAGCCAGTTTCCTTTAAGCCCGTAATCCTGTACCTGCTCACTTGTGAGTAATCCCCATTGAACTGAATATAACTTCCTTTTGACAAGACGTGTAGGATTTCATGGTACATAAATGTAAATGGGTGTGATTTACACAGGAAGCTATTTTATCCCGATTCATTACCCTGATGCTAAGGATCCCATTGGTCCATCTAGCACAGGACTGAAATCTATGGATTCCCAGAGGGGTTTTACAACAAGCACCAGAACCCTTTCTCCATAAGCTCTATTATAGGTGGAAATATGGAAAGGATGTTGCTTTCTCACATTCTATCATCCCACTTCTCACTCAGATATTATAACTGTATCCCTGCTCCCCGAGACAAGGGGCAAGATGATGCCTCTTCCTATTCCATGTTCAAAAGCCAACCAGGCTGGCAGATGAAACTTACTTTGACATTGGCTTCCACAGAACCTGAAGGCAGCAAGCTAACATTGGGAGTGCAGGGCTGCATGGCATGCACAGTTCTGTTCACTCACTATCAGCTGCCTGATGCAGCTGCCTCAGTCTGCCTATTGGTAGGACCGGCCTTGAACTCAGCACACTCCCTAACCTGCCTTTTTCTTCCCACTTCCTCAAGATGAACTTTTATCAATATAGCACTGCATTAGCCATGCTATAAATTGATGTACAGTGGTACCTCGGGTTACAGACGCTTCAGGTTACAGACTCCGCTAACCCAGAAATAGTACCTTGGGTTAAGAACTTTGCTTCAGGATGAGAACAGAAATTGTGCGGTGGCGGTGCAGCAGCACCGGGAGGCCCCATTAGCTAAAGTGGTACCTCAGGTTAAGAACAGTTTCAGGTTAAGAACGGACCTCCAGAACGAATTAAGTTCTTAACCCGAGGTACCACTGTACTGTAAAAGGTAGGATGTTTTTTGTTCTTATACAGCATTCACGACCAAACAAGAATAATCTGTTGGATGAAACAGGTCCTTGCAGTTGGATCTACTGCAGTAGGAATGCAACAACAGGTAGTTGCACCAACAACTAGACCCAGCACAGCTGCCCCATCCCAAATATTTGATGAATCCCAGAACTCAGCAGTAAGGCCCCTTCCATTTCCAGATCCCTTAAGAAGTGATCTGGGCCATGTTGGAGAAGCTAGGCACAATATCTGTGGTGGACCTGGGTGATTTTTTTTAACCCCCTTCAAACAAAAACATTCATAATCTCTTAATGTAACTCATTCAACTCCCAACAGTTCCAGCCAGCTTGGTCAATGATCTGAGATGATGGAAGTTGTAGTTAAGCAACATCTGGAGGACCACAAGGTCCCTACTCCTGATCTAGAACTAGAATGCATTTTTTTATGCTTGGATATTTGTTTGAGTTCTCACTTCATCATTGGATCTGTGTGCTGACAACTTACACATTTGTGGGTCAAAATAAAGTATCAGAGGACTCCAGTGACTCAGCTATACAGCTGCAAATAAAACATTTTAAGTATGTTTTACGTGCAATATACAATGCGACACTAGATGGTGATGGTGAACCTTATGGGAAATTCAACATATTTTAAAAATGCTTTTGAAAACACATTTTCAGAACTTTTTTTATATGTGTGTAGATTCCACCCAGCTTTGATAAGCATACTAGAATTTGTGAAGTAATATTCATACTGGACAGAACCACTAAATTCAACCCCTAAGCCACTATTATTGACATCTGGATCCAGAAGATCACAGGCACTGGGCATTCCCTGTTCAGTTACTGTGGTTTTGGAAGATATAGACAACAAATGGACACACCTTCACAGAATGGACTCTTCTTTAGATAGTTCCATTATCCTTCAGTTACAAATGGTGATATATAGTCACCAGTACTTACTCACGTTGGGTACATATCAAACTGCTATCTAGGTCTCCTGACAGCAGCTCAGCAGCCAGGGATACCCATTGCATCTATTCTGATGAACTCATATGTAACGAGCAAAATCTCACCACAATATAGGTCAGATCATTAAACACCAGCTCTTAGAATTATTTATGAGATGTTATAAGTATGCAAATTATGGCTCTTGAAGTGCTTTCGTAAGTATTTATGAGTAACCAAGGGCTAGTAGATCATTGTGAGATGCCAGCAGAGGTTGTACATTTGATTTTCATTTTCATTTTTAGAGGTCTCCTCTTTTTTATATTCAGGCTTTTCATCTTTGGGTGGGCTTAGATTCTTTTTTCTTTCTGTCTGCAGGTTAAATGCCAGACTTCATCGAGTTGCTGCAAAAGTGAACTGTGGACTCAATCAGAAGAGCTGTCTAAGAAGATACAGAAGAAGATTCAAAGCCAGTTTGATGATAAAATCTTGATCTTCCCAGCATGTTCTTTTGTGGCAACTTCTGCCCACATTGTTAATGTGCATTACATGATTGTTTGACATCCAGTAAATATCCATCCCCCTGCACAACACACACTAAGGGGCAGCTCCAGACATTTCACTGCCTGTGAAAGAATCACTGAAAAGAACCATGAGGCTGTCTATTCCAACATCCAGTCACCCATTGGTCCCCAGTGGTTAACTTACACACACCACAGGGCTCCACATGCAGATAGCAGACGTGTCACATTACAGCTGCAGCCCTATTGGTTAAGATACTGACCATACTAACTGGCCACCTATTTTCTTAAGTGAATTTCAAATTAATGGCTCAGTGTAGTTAGCTGATGTGTTTTCAGTGGGAGCTAATGGCTAGGGAATAGTTGGGGATCATTCTAGAAGGTAAAATAAGCTATGATGAGGTAGATCTTGTGTGTGTGCATGCGCACACCCACATGTATGTGTATAAAGAAAAAGGTGAAGTTTTGGTTTTTTTTAAAAAAAGACAGAGTAAGCTGAATGTGGAAAGGATCTTGGGGCTGCTTTCTCTAGAAGTCTGCTATGGAGCAGCAGATTGATCGTCTGCTAGGAGTATGTATTCAGTTCACTTCCACTAGGGATTGACATATCTGCCAATTTCAGTTTCCCTCAGTTTCTCATTTTTCCAGTCTTAAGTTCAGTTCTCCACATTTCCACACCAGTTTGTGATTTATTTATTTTTTAAAGAGCATTTTAGTGTGAATTCCTCCTAATATGCACATTTCGTATGCAGTTTTCCCTGTAGATATAAACATTTTTACAGAGCCGTCTTCCCTGATCCATCTCGTTTTATATTATTTTCACAATATTTCTATCTTATGCACATTTTAGCTTAGCGTGTGCATTTTTGTGCATGTTCTGCTTGCTGGGAAGCTACAAAACTTGGAGAAGGGTGAATTTCACAGGATGGCTATGTTTCGAATGGCGTGTTGCAGGCTTGGGGAACCTCATGCACAGGTCCCAAGTTGACCCACAAGCTGTTTAACCAAAACCATGCTCAGCATGTCTGACCTTTGTGACTTTGAGTGTGGGGGCAGGAAGAGATGTGGCTGGATCAGCTGCGTGACTTAGCTCCCCCTTGGGGAATCCAATTGCACAGCTGATCCCTGCAGCAAGCAGGGTTGAATCACCACCTGTTACCTGATGGGTGGGGGGTTAAACTCTTGAAGCACTTGATCTTGCAGCCAGTCCCTGCAGAAATCAGCTTTGCTGAGCACCTGGGCTGGCAAAACCCTTGCACTACAACTCCAAAGTGCCTTACAACCAGCTGACTGTTGAGAAATGCTGCACAAGGGACTTTGGCAGGTGGGCTGGACAACCCCCTGTCAATCATCTGATGTCCCAAGATGTCTGGTGACAGAGTTGGTTGTCTCACGCACCTGTCCAAGTTGGCCCATGGAGTTGGGGTCAGATAGCAATCAGGTCTGCTGGACCAAAAAGGTTCCCCACTCCTGGCAGATTGAATCAGAAAAGTAGGTTCCCCTTTAAATGCAAACCAAATCAAATTCCTTTTCTATCTAGGGCTGACGCATTTTGAAGAGCAAAAAAGAGGACACATTTGCTGACTTCTACTTTTAACTATGGGACGCAGGTGGCGCTGTGGGTTAAACCACAGAGCCTAGGGCTTGCTGATCAGAAGGTCGGCAGTTCGAATCCCTGCGATGGGGTGAGCTCCCTTTGCTCGGTCCCTGCTCCTGCCAACCTAGCAGTTTGAAAGCATGTCAAACGTGCAAGTAGATAAATAGGTACCGCTCTGGTGCTGCTCTGGTTTGCCAGAAGTGGCTTAGTCATGCTGGCCACATGACCCAGAAGCTGTACGCCGGCGCCCTCAGCCAGTAAAGCGAGATGAGCATCGCAACCCTAGAGTCGTTCACGACTGGACTTAACGGTCAGGGGTCCCTTTACCTTTTTTACTTTTAACTATGGATGATGACTCCTCATGAAAGAGAGGATGTGTCCTGGAAAAAGAGGACATGTGGCAAGACTACAAAATGCCAGAAGCCTCCAGTGTACTCATCTCCGAATGAAGCTGAACTTCCAGTCCTGCCCCTGGAACTCCTCACAGCTTGGTGAAATGGGGAGCAGGCAGCCCTTATGCACACTTGATAGGCTTCACTGAGTTTATGTAGAATCAAGCTGTAAAGTTTCAATTTTATGTGCACATACTTTAGAGCATACGTGTAGGGCTTGCTTCGGAGTCAACATCCCTAGGACTGACAGGAGGAGTTGTTTGACAGTGGAACAAACTCCCGTGGAAGATTTTAGTCTCTCCTTCCTTGGAGTTTTTAAACAGAGGTTGGATGGCCATCTGTCATGGATGCTTTAGCTGAGATTCCTGCATTGCAGGGGGCTATAAAAGATGACCCTTGGGGTCCCTTCAAACTCCACAATACACAGTAGCTCGGGTTACAGACGCTTCAAGTTACAGACTCCACTAACCCCGAAATAGTACCTCAGGTTAAGAACTTTGCTTCAGGATAAGAAAAGAAATTGTGCGGTGGCGGGGCAGCAACAGTGGGAGGCCCCATTAGCTAAAGTGGTACCTCAGGTTAAGAACAGTTTCAAGTTAAGAACGGACCTCCGGAACGAATTAAGTTCTTAACCCAAGGTACCACTTCACTATGATTCTATGCTCCATTCAGCATCCACAGAGCAATGGCTCCTTTGAGATCAAGGTATGTTGCACATTCAATGGAGAAGGGGGGGGAATCTTTTTTCAAAAGGTACTGAGACAGATTTTTTTCACTTCTTCACCTAATCCTTACTTTCATTCCCTTCCTTCCTTGCCAGAGTCTGCAGATGTCTTTAAACTTTAGCATCAGAAGTAACCACTTTCAAGCAAGAATAAAACAAACAAGGTCATTGGAAAAGATGAAGAATAATGAGGTTCTTTTGCTAGGAATCCTTGTTCTTCATTTTGGCTCTCCACCCCCCTTCCCCTCCTCGCCTTCCTCTTTCATCTCACTCCGGAAAAAGAAAAAATAAATCTTTACTAATCCCTTTGGAGCCCTCACTCCTCCTCTGCCTGTGATGTGAGAGGATGCCAAAACTAAAAAAGAACTCCGTCAAATCGCAGGAGGAGAACAGCTCCTCCCCTCCCCCCTCAGGCCTTCTTCCGGTGTTTGAGTTGGGGTGCTGCGTGGGCACACCGTGTCCCTCGCTGCCTCGTGGCGGGACCACAGCCATGTAAGTAGGTCACATTTACACACAGCTCGGACTCTGCAGAGATTTCTCTTTCCGCTTTAATTTCTTTTCCTTTCAGTCTCAGGGATTTGGGAATTGATGAAAGTCTCAGAGCAGGATTTTAAATAGTTGATTAAACAGCAATCAGCAGAGAGCTCGCTGTGAAGCAACCCTCGGAGAATCGGGGTGGCTTTTGGCAGCCTTTCTTTTGCCTTCCTTCTTAGCTCAGAGGGACACTTCACAGGTTACTCAGTGGCAAATGTGGTTTTGCTTCTGAGTGTACACATGGCAGAGAACCCAAACGTCTCTGCACATGTAACACATGCTGGGATGGAGGAGGATTCAATTTTGTTCGCATCTTAATAAGAAGCTACCTAGTTTGCACCTTCTGAAACAATGTGCAATCCGAAACATTTGAAATTAGCACTTCTCTGAATTTTGCAGTTTTCTACCCCAAAATCACGTTTTAGAGGGAAATATGCACAAAAATAAAAGCTATTAGAGAAAATAACATGCAAAAATGCATTATAGTGGGGGGGGGGGAATGCTTGCAAAAATTTGCGTAGCCAAAAATGCAATCAAAGCTGGATTTATTAGGAGAAATTCACACTAAAATGCTGCTCAGTTTACATGAGAAAATTATTTATTTATTCTTATTATTTGGTAGGGAAGGAATTCATGAACTCCTACAGAAATGTGGAGAACTGAATGGAAGATTGGAGAAATGAGAAGCTTACAGAAACAAAACTGATCTGTCTGTCCCTACATACATGTGATCAGAAGAAACACACATTTCCCATGGGCATCTGTTGCAGTTTGACACGTATTTGTAAAATAATTTGCCTACAGGCTTCTTTTTAAAAATGCAATGACTGAAGGCAATCTGGAGAAATCTTGCCATGCATCCTCCTCTGTTTGTACCAAATCCACAATATCCTGTTCCATATTCTTTCACCATTTTCTTCCCCCAGATCTGTGTGTAGGGATGGAATTTTTCTGAAAATCTCAGTGTTGAGCTTATCCCCACAGATTCTACCCCAAACTCCCCATCTCCCTCCTTGATCCCAATAAGAAGCAAGGGTTGTTTTTGCCAGTTCCACCAAAAACAAGAGAAAAATAATTCCTCACATATTATATGCTTTATAATACTGTATATAATTACATGCATATAATATCCATACAAACTCCAGATTTCCTATAAGGAATCGGCACACAAACAGAGGCATGCAACAATGCATATACATGTATAAAAATACACATTAACATGTAAAATTATGATGACAATATAGTACTGCATGATGCTTTACTCTTTTATATGTATCATACCTATAATATAAGTTTTTGCATTTAATTTTGCATATTTTTGTTCGGACTTTTTTATTTTAAATATTTGCCCAGGCAGCTTGGAAATAAGCAGGCATTAAATGCAAGAGGCAGTCCAATATGGGCAAAGCTTGAATGGGTCAGAACTGCCAAACTCCATATATAAATTCATTGAAAACAAACTCTTCCTCCACACCCACCCGCCCATGAAATGGGTGTTGAAAAGGGGAGGGGATTAGTTCAATTCCCTCCCCCCCATTTTTTTGCTTACTTAACCCCTGCTTGACCACCTATGAATGGGGTGTTAAATGCAGGGGGGTGTATTTCAACTCAGCCCTTCAATTCTATGTTGGCCTGTCTTAGCCAGTTTTGTACTCTAAACTCAGAGTCTTTTCTGCTAGTATAGCACTATCACGCTGCCTTTACTTTCAGAGAGACCCACTCAGGGATATTTTGAGCTCCTCTCTAAATGTTCAGCTTTCATTTATATAAGCTTCTTGCTCCTAAACTTGTATCCTGAACCTGTGGCCTATCTGGCAGCAAGTCAGTATGCCAAGTCCAAAGTGTGAGGGTTGATCCACACAAGTGAAGTCTAAAGGTCAGGAAATGAAGTTCAGGATCAATCAAAGTAGCCAAGCCTGAAGTCCATCAGTGAGGATACAATCCAGAGTCAAAACTGAAGCACAGTCCAATGGAGGTACAGGAACATCTAAGTCAAGGTCCATCAAACATGGGCAGTTGAGCAGATCCAGCACCTCAGCTCTGCTGCCCTTTTATGCTTTGAATGTTGGTTTCAGCATCTGGACTTGATGACACATGTGACCTTCACCTGTTCTAAGTCTACTCTAGCTGAGGAATCACACAACTCCTCCCAGAGCTGATAAGCCCCACCTGGCCAGCTAGAGAGCTGGACTGTGGGCCTTGCTTGCCTCAGCCTCCTGGAGCACCCCACCCACTGCTCCCTATGGCTCAGAGATGTTGTGAAGATCAAGAAAAAGTCCAGGCAGTATTCTGCCCTGATTCGCAAACTTCCTCCTGACTGTTCATGGTCTTGTGGGGTAGTCACTTACATATTGTCAAACATGAGGAAATATAACACATACACACAAACCCAAAATGAGAGGCAGACATACTGTATCAATAAAATGTGCATGGACAGAGAAATAATTAATTTAAATGGAAATAAAATACATCTCACATTGCTGCAGAAGACTATGACCATGTGATCTGCATGCTAACTGTTAATGAGCAAGTCCAATCCCACTTCTGTCCCTTCCTATGGTTTGTTATCTTTAAACCAAAACTTAGAACAGGCAACACTTTAAACAGAGAACTGTCTTATGTAATATAAGCCAGATGGCCACGCTCATGGTCTTGCAAATGAGTGCGAATTCACTGCAATAAGTACCAAACACTGGGCTGTTTTTAATATATGTAATGCAAGGATGGGGAACCTGTGGCCCTCAATACATGGTTGGACTTCAACTCCCACCACTCCCATGGTCCATGGACAGGGTGATGGCAGTTGCAATGCTTCAATATCCGAAGGGCCACTGGCTCCTCATCCCTAATGTAATGCAATTGAATAAATTAGACTGCTTGCGTTTATGTCCTGATTCCCATAGGCCCTCATAGCAAAAAAATCTGGCTACAGATTTGGACATTCAATATCTCACTCCTTCCTAACTTCCCCATCTCATTTAAAATGGTTTTCATCTGGTGTTTGGGGGGTGGGGAAGCTCAACTTTTGGGGTGTCCTGGTTTTTACTTTTTGAAATATGGCAAGCCTACCTCCCCTGACAACTTGACCCAGTCCAACCCAGACACATTTGCTACCCTCAGAGAGGCCCATGGCTTCTCCCACCGAACAACAAGTTGTGGCTGTCTAGTTCTCTACTTCTCTTCAGCAAACTCTTTGTAGACACCAGACACATATCCTGACTCCCTAGAAGGTGCCTTCAAGAATTTATGCAAAGGATAGGAAAGGATGAAGTTTATCTTCCACTTGTAAGTAGATTTCTCTTCCCAGTAATTCTGGATCTCTCAAAGCCCATAAACTCATTCATTTAGAAAGAAAAACAATGCTCATGGAATCTCAGTGCTTTGCTGCTGCTACTGCATCAATCTTCTTTAAGCTTAGTCCTTAAAAGAAAAGCATATATCTCAACTAACTGCAGCATCAGAACTTCCACAGTGGGTTTTTTCCACCCAGATTACAAATGCCTAGCTACACTCTGAACTTTACACACTGATTTGAACTATCCAGCCAGGCTCTTTGGCTGCAGGCATCTAGTGCTCTTAAGATACACTGGTGGTTGTAATTTAATCTCACCCTATCATCATCTATCTATCTATCTATCTATCTATCTATCTATCTAATCTATGATCTATTCATCCGCCAGTCTGTCTGTCCACCTATCCATCCTCTTGCAGAAAACTGATGTTGAAGTCTTGTTATTTCACAGTCCTAGAACTATAGAGAGTATTAGATTGACTACAGCAGTGATGAGGAACCCATGTCGCTCCCAATGTTATTTGACTCCAACCCCATCAGCCTGAGCCAGCATGGCCAGTGGTTAGGGATGCTTGTAGTCCAACAATATCTGGAAGGCAACAGGTTCCCCTTCCCTGTGCTTCATAGAAGTTTAAAGTAACTCTCCTGTGGACTATGTACCATAGCCTTTATGAACCCAATGGGATAATTATTTACAAAATATTATTTCACGGTTGTGCAATTAGATGTATAATTAGGTCACCTCCAGGCTCAGTGTTTTGCAGATCCCTGTTGCCTTACCACAACAAATCCATATTAAAAACAACAACTGGCCTTTTTATGGTTAGGAAAGTGACAGGGGAATGCATTGAAAAGAACAAATGATTCATGGGAAGATGTATAGGCACTATGCAAGCAAATCAAGATGAATGCACAATAGAGACTGGACATAGTCTGACGACTGTACAACAAGCTTTGTACAACAAAGTCAAGATGGATGCTCAATAAACAGGTTGTCTGGGTGAGCCCCTACTGTGTACATAACAGACCTATTAACCAAAGTAGTCCATTGCTCAGAAGCAATGTGTACAATTTAATTCAGATTCCAACTCCAACCTTTGGGGCAAGCACAAGGGCGAACCAGGCTTGCTATGTTCCCAGTGGTTCTTGTGCATTCTGTTCTGTGTATTCATTGCAAATTTCATACAGAGATAACTTATCTAGGATGGCAGTATACCTGCCTGTTTGGAACAAGAGAGAATGGTTTCTGTCATATCCCTGGCAACAGCTGAGGATCTGTTCTTGCTTCAGCTGCTATTCTGCCTATTATCTTGCTCATGAAACCACTCACGAGTATGCTTAACTGCTTAGAATCTCATCTTCTGACTTGATACAGATCTGCTAAGTTTAGTTCTGTGTACTTTGGAGGATTGTGTCACCTTGCAGAAGGACAAGCCCTCGCATACGTGAGATTTTGAGGTTATATATATATATATATATATATGCATCTGTGACATTTTTTTCCCCAAAGTCTCCCCCCCCCTTCACTGTGTTGCCATTTGTTACTGTCATCATTCCATATGGGAGTAAAATCTCTGTCCAGTTAAAGATAAATGTTGGTTTATTGTACATAAAACAAATGGCCAGAATACCTTTAAAAGGCTTTATGGTTTCTGACATTTTATATGCATAATTTATGCTCCCCAATTTGGAAACTGCCCAAATGTCCATGAGTTACTAAGTGGACTGCAGACTTGTGACTTGGCCAGCCAGATGGATGTAACTCTAGCAAGAAGTGAGTGCTGCCCACTCTTAAGGATACACAAACTATTTAATGTTTGTGTCTTGGTCTGATCAGTCAGAGGAGTCCACAGGGCAAGGCAGGTGTTGCAGCACCATGGACAGCTCCAAGCGAGCAGTCAGCTCCAGCAATGGCTAGAGTTAAATGAGGCCTTTTGAGCCACTGCCTGCCGTCTACCTCTCCTAGTCTCCTGTGTGCAACCAGCAGTCCATAAAGAGTCAACCTCTGGCCCACAGATGTGCAGCTCTTCTGTGCTCCCTTGGCATTCTACCTGGGACACTACCTGCACTAGTAGACCAGCAAGGTAGGTTGGGAGGCACTTGGTTGCACAGACCCAAGGAAAGGCAACTGTGAAGGTCCTGGCTCTGGCTCTATGGTCCCTGGTACTGTGGGATGTGGCTTTGAAAGGGGTTCATGCCCTCCAGCCTTGGATTTAGTGACCCCCTGGCCAGCAGCATCAGACTCAGGTACCCAGTATAGCTCCTTTGGAAGTGATTCTGTACTTTCTGACCCTACGTTTTGATTGCTACTAGAATCATGGCAGTTTGGAAAACATGGATGTTGTACTAGTCATGGAAGCTGGAAAGGGGAGACTTTATACAGAGAATTGGGTCTGTGAATATTAGAGTTTAATTAATACTGAGTTTAGTATTAGAGTTTAATTAATACAAATGCAACAGTTTGGAGTACTCACAAAGCAGGCAGGGGTGGAAAGTAGGCCTGGTTAATTTTGACTCAGTGCCAGAATCAAGGCAGCAGATATATAAGTGTTCTGAAAGGACCAACAAACGCATTCCACCCAAGAGGCTGGTTGAGGAATGTCTTGGGTTGGGGAAACTGGGCGAGCAGGTATAATAATGTACGGTCCTGCATAGATTAAGGGAACTAATGCAACCATGCAAGGCACATGGAAATGTGTATCATTCAAAGAGAAGGAAGTGTGCCATGCCTGCTCATAAGGGTCTTGGAACACAAGCTGTGTGAAGGAGAGGGGCATAGAATGGAGAGAACAGAAAATGGAAGGTCTGTTGGTGAGGGATTGTTTGTAAGAGAGATTGGGAGAATGGCAGAGTGGTGAAGAAACTGAAGAGACTGACTTGAAAAACAAGTAGTACAGAGTGGATAGTAGTACAGAGTGGATAGAGGAGAACAGAGTAAAGGAAAACAAACTCTGATAAGCTGAAAGACAGACAGAAATTTATAGACAATGGCAGCGTTTTAATGTGCTTAATGGTTTCAGTTCCAAGTGCCATTTTCTTTCTTGCTCCTGAAAAACTCAGACACTTTGCAAGGCATTAAAGCAGCAATAGGAACTCAAACTGCTTCCAAAAGTTGTAAAGAGGCATGAGCAAGAGAGAGAAATAAAAATTGTCAGAGTGAACCAAGTGCTTAATATTCCCGAAGAACTGAATATGTCTCTCAGTGAACAAAGACGGTGCACCATTGCTGTCACAATACCATCAAGTGCTGGCTGTCAATGAACATTTTGTGCCCGCGGCAAATTAAGACCTATTTGTGGAGCAGGATTGGTGAAGAGTGCCTAAGTAATGTTGCCATACTGGCAATAGAAAATGTACTTGCCCAAGCCCTCAAGCTGTCATAAACCATTTCACAAAATGGCAAAATGGCATAAGAACCAGCCAGTTTAACATCCATAAATTATCTGTATAGGTGCTTTTTCCATCCTCCCTTCCCTTTCTGATCAGCCAGACCTACTGTATATTACCTGGAATATCCAACAATGTTTTTTCCGTTGATCTGAATTATCCAAGGAACATATTCATTCTTTTAGTTTCCTCTCGCTGAAAGCCTGCATTCCTGGTTCTGCTCGCACTAGTTCAGAAGTAAAGCTGTTTTCTAAAGAACTACGTAGGTGTTCTGGCTCTCTGATTTGTACATTGGAGAAAAGTTTGTAATGGAATGTTAGCTTGTTTCAAAACCCATTTCCTTCTCTTTTCTTTAACGCAATTTGTATTTATTTCTATAGACATAACATTGTAAGGCTACTATCATGCAGTCCCCATTGGAGGATTTGTAATGCCTCATCACAATCCTGGATTTGCAGCAAGTTAGGGTACGGGAGGAGAAGGCAGGTTGCACAACAGTACTGGCCAGTGTTGGTAGTTGAAAACAATGGCAGACGCTTGAGTAAAGTATCTTTACACAATGGAATATTTGGGGACTGCTCATCCTTTATCTTTCTCAGATGAGGAATGGACTGATTTTAGGACTGATTTGAGTACAGCAAGAAGGGATGGACACTGAAAGGGAAAAAGTGGTTGTTTAAAACAATGGCAGGAAGTTTGAGTAAAGCAGGGTAGAGAAACAGTGATAAAAAAATGACAGTTTCAAACAACAGCAGAGGTCTGAGTAAAGCAGGGCTGGGGGGAAACACAGGGAAATTGTGGTTTAAAATAACAGCAGCAGAAGATGCAGGAAGCTACCATGTGGGTGCTTTGCATGCAAGGGAGATTTCGGAAATGAGGTGGGGAGGATGCAAGGGCATGGAGGTGAAAGTGAAAATGGGTGCATAGCAGGGCTGCAGAACAGAAGAGAAAGATAGCTTCAGAAATGGGGTTAAGAAGTGACAAGTGAGCTTAGTAATTATGTGAGTTGGAAGAGGAAGCTCTAGAGCAGTTGGTCACAATTAGCTAAGTACCGGGGACTCCCCGTTTTTCAAAGGTCAAGTCATGGACCAGGCCCTACTTCTGAAAATTTTGACATTTCTGTGCTAGTTTTTGCTATGTGAATGGTGCCACGGACCCCTGGGCCTGGTACATGGACCCACTGGTGTCCACAAACCACCAACTGCTCTAGAGGGTTAATGTGGCCACCGGAAGAACTGGATGGTGGACTGGATGAGCCACTTCCTGATCCAGCAATCTCTTCTTATGTTCTTACATTGTGTTCTCTTATCCCCCACCCCCACAGACAGGCCCTGCCAGAATCCAGCCTACTTAGCTTCAGCAAGGAGACTACATCATGCACCATTCCTTATAGGCTATGTGCTCCTTTTCTACGGAATACTTGTTCATGCATCCCATTTAGATATATATATATATATTTGTGTGTGTGTGTGTGTTTCCATTCCTAGCAAATCTTTGGCAGCCAGTTCAGTCCAGTCTCCTTTCCTTACCATGTGGAAAGGACATCACTGCTTATAGCCAACAATAATAAAGTGCTGAAAGCAGGTTGGGTTCTCATCATGCAAAAGGGGCCTTCCTCTGGAAACAGTCTAGGTCAGCTCACTTATTTAACTTTCCTCATAAAGTTACCTTGTGTTCAGTTTGACCTCATTATTTTTTGTGTCTCAACAAGTTCCAGACTGTTTGAGACATGGAATTCTCCCCCTGCTGCAGCTTTAATCATTTCCATTCTTACTCGACTCTGTGTTTTTTTAAAAAAACAAAAAAAACAAAAACCTTGAAGCCTTTAGTGGATTTTCTTTTTAAAAAAGAAAAGTTGGGATGAATTTTTTGGAGGGACGGGGAATATGAGAAGGATGCTGGTGGCCATTATAGTCCCAGCCTCTTGTCCCTTAAGAGCCTAGCTGCTTGGCAGAGAGTGTTTTAGATGACTCACCATATGACCAGTAATACATGTGTCTTGTGGCCATGAGTTCCTGGGATGTCTTATGCCTGGAGTGCTCTTGGGAGAAAAGGGTTGTCTTTCAGGATTGCTGGGATAAGCTTTGTGCAGTACCTTAACTCCTGGCTGGCAGCAATGGAACTTGATATCAAGTGGTGCAGCCCTGTTACTTGTGGATAAATGGGGGAATTATTCCCGAAGCGGCCGACGAAGAAGGCAATTAGAGCGGAGATCAAGCCGATCGCGCCAAAGGAAAAACGGAGCAAAAAATCCAAAACAAGGTAAAACCATGGTAAAAACCGGATCACCTGTGGGGAAGGAAAGAAAGAGGAGGGGGCTTGGCTGCAGCCGGGTTAAATAGCTGAGGCCCCGCCCCCGGCGCCAGGCAATTGGCTGGCCCGGGGGTGAAAGGTGGACTGGGATTCCCTAACTATTACGGGGCTGGAGCCAGCCCCGCGCATAGGAGGGGGCATGAAGCCCGCAACCTCACCTCCTTTGTCGAGGACGGAAGTGGCTTTACTTGTGGATAAATGGGGAGGGGCAAAAAAATAAAATAAATGTCCCTTCATTTTGCCACCCTTCAGTGCATTTCAGGTAGGCTTTTAAGTGGTGATGTTTATCCTGGTCTGCATCTGTATTAGACCTATTTTTAACTGTTTTTACATTGGAGTGTTTCCCCCCCCCCCCATGTGTCATTTTGATGCAATTATTTTTTAAAAAAACAACATGTCAAATTGGTAGCCCACAACCAAGTGCTATGAGTTGTGTTTTATGTGAGACTGACCCCACCCTTTGGGCCAGTAGATGTCAATGCCCATCTGTCTCTGCATAGCTGTATGCAACCACTTTCCAGAAAACGCAGCAGACTGCATTGCCTGCGATTCTGAACTCCTATAGCTGAGCACCTATGCTGTGAGCACTCTTCCTATTACCACCCTCGTTAGTGAGCGCACATCCTCCTGGAGATGAAAGCAGTTTGTGCCGTGTTCTCCTTTGCTCTCAGATCCCCTCTCTCTCCGTGCTGTTGTTGTTGCTTTGTCAGTGTTGTTTGTTTCCCAAATTGTGTGCTTTCCAAATCTGCCAGCATGACCCAGATATGCCCATCTCCCCGACCTGCAATGAGGCAGGGCTTTAGATGAAAACTGCCAGTGGTGCCTGGGGAGAATGGATAAAAGCCTCCTGTTGAAATGGGTTTTTGAAGATAGAGACCAGAAGATGGGCAGGGGGAGAGGCAGAGGGGAGCATCACAGCTGTTTCCTTTTATGTTCGCTAAAGCTGCTGTTATGTCATTTTTTTTAATTAAAATGTTTTCCAAGGCTGATGTGATTTATGGCTCTCTGTCCTTTGCTGAGGGATGTTGATCCATTCAGCTTGTAGCCTGGGGTAAACCAGAGGCCGAAGCAGGAAACTGAGCTGCCAGAAGATGCGCCAAGGCTCAGGTGTGATCTCAAGATATTATCTATCCTTTTATGGCATCAATTTATATATATATATAAGAAACGGATAAAGGAGCAGAAAGAGAAACTTATCTTCTGCCATTGGTCAGATCCTGTCCAGAAGCAACAGAAAGGGAAGAAGATAGGAACTAATAGAGGGATAGCCAATGTAGTACCCTCCAGATATTGTGACTACAACTCCCATCATCCCTGACCATTGGCCATGCTGGCTGGGACTGATGGGAGTTGGAGTCCACAACATCTGGAGGGCATCCTTTTGGCTACCCTGAACTGGGAGCTGGGAAGGTTTGTGTTCCTATTGTCTTTGGGAGCCATCTTTTCACCTTACAACTTAGAAGCGTTAAAAAGGTCAGCACCACTTGTGCAAGAAAATTAAGGGGATGAGGATCAATCCCCAATTCGCTACAAAGGAGCCCTTTTGGGCCAGTGATTCAGGGGAAGGCTCCAGCAAAATGTATTTGGGTTCAAATTTGGAGAGTTTCTAAGAAAAGGAACCCATGCCCCTTGTGGTATTTCTGGGTGAGTGAGTGAGTGAGAAGTACAAATCTGGGGGAAAGAAGAGAGTGGGGGGGGGGGTCTTAATTCAGACACATTGCACAGAAGTCCAAACTTTTACAGCCATCAAAAGCCCTTTCCTGGCAGACTGAAAATAGCCTTATCGTCACAGTACACCTTCCCACACATCCACCCTGAAGCTGGAGGGTTTTATTTTGGAACAAAAATCAGATTGTGATAAGTGGATTAAACGATAGCAGAAATGGAATGAGTTTCACTGCACACAAGCCTCTTGCTCAAAAAATCCTTGTTCATTATAAGAGAACGCAAATACCCTGGCAGAATCCAGACCTAATGAAAAGCTTATTTGCCAGAGTCTGAGTTTATTACTGGACTTGCTGTTCAGATCTACCTCTAAGGAGATGCAGCACAAGTCTGCTGGAGGGAGAAGCCAGGCAGAAGGAGTCTTGCAAACAACAAGTGGCTAACGTCCCAGTGGAAGTCCTGTCTGAAGTGTGGGCCCTTTCTGAATATATTTCCGTTCCCTTAAACTCTTTATGTATGTTAGAATGTTTGAGTTTATGAACTTCTCACTCCATAGGACTTAATGAAACATGATCTTTATAATTTCTATAGCAGGTACTCTTGTAAAAAATGCCTCACAATTCCTAGCTCGTTTAACTCTACAACAGCCCTGTGAAATATTTTTGGATATGGGAGAACGTGTTGTCCAAGTTCTCCCAGTAAGCCTTCATTCTTCAGGCACAATACTCGTATCCATTCCAGCACACTGGTAGAAAGCTAAGATTGTTTGAGAATTCATTGTTTTAAAGAGGAGATTTCAATTTTTTCACAGACATGGTGGCATTCAACTTTTTTTCTTTTTTTTTTTTGCACTAGTACAAGAAAAGTTCCTCCTCTCCCTGCCTCTGCTTATGAATGCCCTATGTTGTCCCAAAATCTTATCCATAGTGTTATGGGAACCCACAAAACAGATTTAAGGGACATGCAGAGGGAGGAGTAGGGAAGAACATTTGGTTCGTCAGGGAGAAATTTAACTATGTTAAGTACAGCTCATGACTTCACATCTCCATCCTTAATGTATATTAAATTACCCATATTTTTGCAGGTGGTATCCAACCTTCTCAGAGCTTATCTAATAATCGGTTTGCTTACCTATTTTAATGGACAGATGTTAGAGGTGTGAAATCTACACTGATTGATGGGCTTCAACTCCATACAAAAAGTTGCTTCAATGCATTTTTAGGTGTTTAGAATTGCTTGTTGTGCTTGCCTATTCTGGTTCTGTCAATTTAGCCCAAATAACTAGATGGCAGTGCACATAAACAGGTTTATATGTTTTTGTGGTCAGCAAGACAAATATCACTGCAAACCTCAGCGTTCCTAAAGAAGACACTATTTAATCCTATGGAGAATAGTTGCCT